CGTAGATGCCGATAGTAAATATATCGGTTATATATAGTGAAATATATACAATGTGTATATACAAAAGAAGGGGATGTTAGTTAGAATACTTATATCTAAAGAATGGCTGGACCGATTTTGACAAATTTTGTCAATTCAGAATGCCCTCTTGACATAAAAGTATAAAATCTAAAAAAAAATCGCATAAAAAGGTATCAATAATGATGTTAATATAGATTTTGTAGTATTTTGTGACATTTTTTTTCATATTTTTTATCGCATGCGATTTTTTCAATTTGACTTATAATATTTTGTAATATTTTTTTGGGGATATTTTGGGGATATTATATAAGTATTGCAAATATCGTCCGATCCTCACGAAAAAGTTCACAAGGGTAGGATTGGACTCAGAAGGGCTAGGCCTATTGTCCGCAATATATTAGGGGGTTGAAATGGATCAACTACTAAAAATTTTCCTGATTTTACAGCCGTTAAAAAGGTCACAAATAGAAACCAAAGGACACGAAATCTCGCGTAAAGTTAGACAGCGGGCACAATGAGCCACTAATTTTGTGTGAAAAAATACCAGCATTACTTTTTTATGCTGATTTCGTTGACAAATATAGCCAAATATCGTAGACAAGCAAATCATATAGATGAGTCTAAATTTGGAGATACAGAGGGGCTTCTTTCTTTTGGAGATGATTGCAAAATATGTAGGGGTTCAAACTAACCAAAAACAGAAATGTTTTTCCGATCACACAATTGAAGCCAATCCACACGCCTGTGAAGAGAGTTAAGGACAGGGAAGAATTCTAGCATTTTGGATGACAATTGGATTATATTTAGCTGCAAAATGGACCACAACAACTAACAACACGACGGAGTGCGTAAATGTTGGGCAAATGTTCCTCGTCAAAATCCTAATTTCAAATGCGAAATCTTCCAATATGGATTTGGACATAAGGGGGCTTCTAACATATTGTAGTGTTGTAGGGTATAACATAGTCGGCCCCGCACGACTATAGCCTTTTCTTACTTGTTTTATTATAACATAAATATAAGCGCAAAATTCTAACTCGCTTTAGCAGTTCATTATTAATATGAGAATTGTTCATTGGTAAGGAATAATGATGTTTCTAGCAAACACTCCATTAGCGATTTGCTCTTGAACGATTTTAATCCCATAAATATCAAATGCAATGTGTATGAAATATTTAATCCGCTCTAAGTAAATATTAACTTTACAATTTCGCAGTAGCAGTTAGATTGTGAAAGCCATAAGTTTTTCAATTCCCATTCAAATCACAAAGTCATTTCAGTGCATTATATCCACTTAACGCAACCATTTGTCTCTTTATAAATAACAAAGACTAAGTCCTCGAAAATTGAAAGCAATAAATGCATAAGAGTTTTCAATTTTCGACTTGTAGTCCTCTTCTCTCCTCTCTCTCTCTTTTTTCTCTCCAACTCGTTGCCGCTGTTTATTTTTGTTTGCTCCAAGGAATCGGGGAGTTGTGTAAAGTTAAAATAAATAGTCGAGTATTTTTTATAGCACACTTGATAATTTTTGCAATAACTCATGTAGCTAATCACCACATAAATAACTCTCAGCTCATACATATACACGTACTCACACATACATTCGTCGGCAAATAGCAGCAGTTTTGTCTAAATGAAAAAAGAAGAAAAGCTGAACTAGCCAACAAATAAATGGAACCAAAAATCACAGCCAACAGTCTGGAAACCCATTGCTGCAGCCCTGGCCGCAGCACAAACACCAACACGAACTTTAGCAGTTCCAGAACATTAAACAGGCGAAAGAATACAAAAACATAGTCAATACAATATACAATTAGTTCTATATACATAAATGTGAAATAGTGTTGGAATTGTAAATAAGCGAGAGAAGACATGAATCCAACCAGAATCTAGCTGCGGATACTGTTTGAACTCCAACTTAACTTGATTTTAATGAAGCATATCTTTTACTTGTTTGACGGATTTTAAATATCATCGAATAACCTTTCACTTTTTTGGGCGCAACATACGTAGGGATTAAAAATAAATTACCATAGCACTTCGTCAGTACTTTCTATGTCATTATACCCCCAACCTTGGAAAGGAGGGTATATTAACTTTGTCATTCCGTTTGTAACATCCTTAAATATTCGTCGTAGACCCCATAAAGTATGTATATTCATAATCAGCATAAAATTCTAAGTCGATTTAACGATGTCCGTCTGTCTGTATGTCCGTCTGTCTGTATGTCTGTTGAAATCACGATACAGCCCACATCATTTGACGTAGAGCGCCAAAATTTAGCAGAGCAAATTGTATTGTGTCTAGGATGGTTGGTATTGAAAATGAGATACATCGGTCCACGTTCTGGTACAGTCCCCATATAACGGTACCTCCCGATATTCGGTATTTTGATGATTTATGCCACATTTTTTCACTGATTTGTCTAAAAATTGGTATTTGTGGATCGTAATGGGTTCTAGTTCGTGTGGCGAAACATTGTATGTATAAGTCCACGTTTTTGTATAGCCCCCACACAAAGGTACCTCCCGATATTCGGTATTTTGATTATTTTTGCCACGTTTTTTCCCGGATTTGTCTAAAAATTGGTATTTGTTGGTCATAATGGGTTCCAGCTTCGGTAGCGAAACATTGCATGAATGGGTCCACGATTTGGTATAGCCCCCATATAACGGTACCTCCCGATATTATGTATTTTTATTGTTTTTGCCACATTTTTTCACTGATTTGTCTAAAATTGTTATTTGTTGGTCATGATGGGTCCTAGTTCGTGTGGCGAGAAATTGTGTGTATAAGTCCACGTTTTGGTATAGCCCCCATACAAAGGTACCTCCCGATATTCGGTATTTTGATTATTTTTGCCAAATTTTTTCACGAATTTCTCTGAAAATTGGTATATGTAGGTCATAATGGGTCCCAGTTCGTGTGGCGAGTCATTGTAATTATAGGTCCGCGTTTTGGTATAGACGCCATATAACGGTACCTCCCGATATTGGGTGATTTGATGATTTTTGCCACATTTTTTCACGTATTTGTCTGAAAATTGGTATATGTAGGTCATAATGGGTTCTCCGTTGGCGAAACATTGCATGTGTAGGTCCACGATTTGGTATAGTCCCCATATAATGCTACCTCTTGATATTCGGCATTTTAATGGATTTTGCCAAGTTTCTTCTAATGTTTCCTTTACCCTAAGGGGAGGGGAGGGTATTAAAAGTTTGGCCCGGTCGAACTTAATGTTTTTTTTTTTTTTTTTTTTTTTTTTTTTTTTTTTTTTTTTTTTTGGTTTTATAGTCTTTCAGGTCATAATTGCATGCCAATTGGCGCCTAATTTTGCGTGAGGTTAGAGTTAGAAAAGCGAAGAAGCGCACCTGTTGGGATCGACACAGCACAGGGTATAAAATGGCCCATACATTTTGTGTTAAATATCCATTTTCAAACACAATATTTTATTCTGTTTTAATTTTGTTTAAGATTTAAGGTATTTTGTAGTTCCTAATTATATTTTGAAGATTTAATGGGTATAACATATATTTCCAAAAACGGATGAATTTACTTTCAAATTTTAGAATAGTTCACATGTAATGTTAGACAATCTTACTTCTATCTGCGAACAAATGTCTTTTAAAAATATTAAATTAACAGAGCTGGTTCGATGCTTGGCTAGTTTGAAGCGAAAATTTACTTGTGTTTTAAAAGCACAAATATTTGATGATCCTAATCCCAATATAATCTTCAGCTAGGCTTAAATTAAAACAACAAAGAATTCTAACCCATTGTCTCATTGGACTGTTAAAAATCCCATAAAATTATTTGTTATTCGTATGAATGAAAATATGGATATACTATATCCATTTTTTTGGAGCAACAAAATAGCCCTTTACATTTTGTGGAGACAAATGAGAAACGACAAAACTTATTAGAACAGCATCCAACAATATGGTTTTTTTTCACTACCACTTCCATTTGTTATGGCTGGTAGCGGCATTTCTTTTTCTTTGCCATAAAAAAGTTAATATCTACGTTTAGTTAGTATTTCCTTCCAAATTATAGCGATGTGTGAATGGTTGGTCGGTCGGTCGCTCGGTCATGTTTCTCTGGTGTTCAATGAGCGTAACAAAAATCCCCGAATCAATTTCATAGCAATTCAACGCAACGCAGCCAGGGCAACACAAACAATATTGTCGCATTAGTTTCTTTATTTTGTTGGCAACTGGCCTTAAGGATCTCAGCCAAGTTTTTGATTTTATGTGTATGAGTGTGTTTGTAGTGGTGATGGTTTATGGCAGTAGTAGTAGTAAACAGGGTACTTTGTGTCCGGTTCCATATGTGTGTAAGAGTTTCTTGTATTTTTATATGTTTTTTGTTGTTTCTGTATTTTTTTGGGACTCATATGTTTCCAAGTTTAAGCTAGCTGAGATTTATTAAGGGAGTTAGTTTAATAGCGAGTTCGTTTTTTGTGGATGCGTATAAATTTTAATTATAATGTTTTCCCAATAGATTTCAATTCATATATAGAAGTTTTTTTGTTATTCTTTTTGTTGGGATAAATTGGGTTTTGTATACAATTTATAAGGGGTTATGGTAGTGGGGGCAGGAATGCATGTTTTTTGCTAGCCATCTGCCAAAATATCCTTTATTCTGTTTCGTGTTTTTTTCTAATTTATATAAATATCAGGATGTGCGACCTAATTCCATATAGCTTATTTACTATAATACATTCATGATTAAAACAAATGTTATAATAATCTTAACGAACTGCTTTTAAAAATCCCAAATATATGTAGCTTGTATGACGTCAATAAAATTATATCATGAGACAGATGGCGGAATTTATTTTTATTTTTTTTTTTATTAATGTGATGATAGTAAGAATTATTTGATTTTAATATAATTCACAGCTTTTCATAGAAAACACAATTTTGACTTCTTTCGCAAATTATCAAAAAATATAACATTATTTTTCATTCGAATTTCAGGGACAAAAACCAGAAAAATTCGGGTGAGTTGATCTATATTTTTTTTATCAATATTAAAAAACACGTGATATTTAAACAAGTAAAAACTGTATGTTCGCCCTGGTCGTACTTTGAATGCCATCCACCATTTGGGATGAATTTGGCAACTTTCTTTTTTCATAAGCCATTACAATATTTAAATGCGAAACTTAAAAAAAATCGCGAATAATGTCGCAAATATCATCAAAATATCGAATATCGATAGGTACCGTTATATGGGGTCTATACGAAGACGGGAACCTGCACAGACAATTTTCTGTCATAGGCTGTAGTATCCATTGGGAACTTCAAATACTAAATTTGAAACATTTCCGCTGAATAATGTCGCTTAATTCACCAAAATACCGAAAAAGGGAGGTTTCATTATATGGAGGCTATAACAAAAGGTGGACCTTCATGACCCATTTTCAACCAAAAGTCCTGCAGACATAATATATATTTGAGTAAAATTTCATCAACCTACATCATTTCTTTCGGAAGCTAGAGTGATTTCCACAGACGATAGACGGACGGACATCGCTAAATCGACATAGAATTTTATTCTGTTTAAGAATATATATACGTTGTGGGGTCTAAAATTTATATTTCGAGGTGTTGCCCTCCAAGCTATTGTGGAGGATATAAAAAGACAGGGAGAAATCCGTTTCATGATTATTATATGTTTTTATACCCTCCACCTTGAAAAGTAGGAAAGGTATTTTGTCATTCCGTTTATAACATCGCTACATATTCGTTGTAGACCCCAAAAATATGTCCGTCTGTATTTCTGTATGTTGAAATCACGATATAGCTCACATTATTTGTACGTAGAGGTTCAAAATTTAATACAACAATGTATATTGTGTCTAGGTTGGTTGGTATTGAAAACGAGATATATTTTTTATGATTTTCGCCACATTTTTTTCGCGGATTTGTCTTAAAATTGATATTTGTGGGTCGTAACGGGTTATATCTCCGGTGACGGATCATTGTATGTATAGGTCCACGTTTTCGTATAGCCCCTTGTAACGATTCCTCCCGATACTCGGTATTTTGATGATTTTTGTCACCTTTTTTCAGGGATTTGTCTAAAAATTGGTATTTGTGGGTAATAATGGGTTATAGCTCCGGTGGCGGAACCTTGTATTCGTACTTCCCGATTTTTGGTATTTTGACTCCAAAAGTGTCATCTATAACAAATTTCCGAATTTTATATCTATCCCTTCACTCCATACCTAATATAGTACCATTCAGTACATTTCGTGCAATTATAGTACACATTTCAGAAACCACCTCACATACACATTATATTTACAGGGTGAGATAAAAACTGCAACAAGGTCAAACGCCATAATTTTTCATTTTTTTTAATTTTATTGAATGAAAGCAAAAATTGTTGGAAATAGCATACAATTTTAGAATAAGTTTAGATTTGTTCGAATTGGTCACCTTTGGCACGGATTATGGCCTTCAAACGGCCAATAAAACAATCACACGCAGCCCGAATTTTGCTCTGCGGTATTTTGGCCCATTCCCGGCGAAGTGCTTCGTTGAGGTGTTCGTCACTTTGGTATTTTTTAGTGTCAACATTGCTCTCCAAAATATTTCAGACACAATAGTCCAACGGATTGTTATCCAGAGATTTTGGTGGCCATAGTGCACTAGAAATAAAGCGAGGAACCTGACTAACCATTCTTGGATGGCGCGTGCTTAGTCCTCTTGGAATGTCCAAGGTCTGCGGCCAAAATGTTTTTGCGTGCCCAACCCTTTAATACACCCTCCAGAATATTTTAGCGATAATATTCGTCATTTATTCTGATGCCACTGTCGATTAATACGAGCGGAGAGCCACCATCGGCTGTTATGGCGGCCCCCACCATCACCATGGCCGGCGCTTGAGTTCTGGTGCCCAATCGAAGGTGCACATTTTCAGCTAACCTCTTTGGCAAGTAAAGAAGACCATTTTGTTTGTTTACAAACTGCTGGACAACAAATGTTTTCTCATCGGAGAAAATCAAATTCGGCTGTTCACCACTTTAGGCCAAGCGAAGCAACACGTTAGCTCTTTTGAGCCTATTTTCTTTCAGTTACGGTGTAAGTTCTTGCACTTTTTGGAATTTCAATGGCTTTATCCCGAGCTCATTTTTCAATATTTGCCGAATGGAATATTGCAATATGTTCAGCTCACGAGCCTTTTTTCAGCCACAGCGACGCAGGTTTCGATCAAGTCGCTTCTTAATTTTTTGAACTGTTTCTGCTGATGTTGCTGTTTTCTTCCGTCCACTTTCTTGACGTCGGGCTACACTTCCAGCATCACGGTAACGAGCGATAGTACGAGACGCAAAAGATTTATTCACATTTAAATGCTGGAGTGCTCTAACGATAGCCACTTTTGATTTTCCAGCCAAATATAAAGAAATCACATCATCACGCTTGAATTCCATCACGAATAACTTTTTTTCTGTAAAATTCTCACAAAAATGCTTTTGTACGCTTGTAAACAATAAAATGAGCTATCACTGGAGTAATTTAAACAGCTTTCGGACGAGTGGCTTAGAAATTACCACAGTCTGAAGTTGGTCGCAGTTTTTTTCATCTCACCCTGTACTATTGTAGGGCATAAAACAGTCAAAAACTTTGAAATAACATACCGAAACCCCTTAACAATGACATATATTGCAAATTAAAAATAAAATGGCGGATGAAACACTTAAGCATGACGGCGACTGTAATAGGATATAGTCGGGTCGGTCATAAAAATAAAGTAAGCTTTCCGAGAGCTTGTAATCCATCCCGCATTAATTACAACTCAACCAACAGTATAACTCTACCTTTCGTTTCATAGCTCACCAAAAACCATTCTGTTCTGTGTTTGCAAATTTAATTTCAGTTTCATTGATTAATATAATATTTATTCAATAAATAAATATATAATTTTACCACAATATTTAATTTTGTCAATATTAGGCGCACACAACCTCTAATTTGTATGTGTTCACGGAATACCGCTTACATTCATACGGAACAGAATCAATTTAAATTTATGAAAATGAATTCTAATTAAAACGCAAATTGTACCTTTAATAATTACCATTGCAGAGATGTGCGAATGTACGTGTGTTTGTACAATGTACATACATACGTTTCGCCGCTCTCAAATGCAATTAGTAACAAACAAACCATTGAGCGAACGACCGCACGGCCGCCAAACACTCAGCCAGCCATACAAGCGATTCGAACAAAAAAAAAAGTATGGAAAATACGAAAAATACCTCGGATATATACAAAATAACCACAAAACAATTATAAACTTAATAAACGTGTTAGTTTTCCATGTTTCGACACCGTTGCCACCCGTATCCGTGGCTCCCTAGAGCGGCTGCTAGAGGGGAAGCTTTCCTACTTACCATTCGTTCACTAACCCCCCCACGCTCTTTGGGTTCTGGGAGCAATTTGTGAAATTAATTTCCGTATGTTGCGCTCGCCGCTAATGTAGCCGGTGTTCTATAAGGACTCTCCACAATCATTTTTGAAGAATACTTTAAATTAATAGTTTGCAGAAAATATTTGATTAAATAAATGATGGACCGGAGGCCGGAAAACTCACACATACACACAATTACGCATAAATGCAAACACAGTGCAGTGTTCATACCTGCATACATAAATCGATTGCCAGACGTGCAAGACAAACTTTTCATTGATATTATGATGCTGATGATGATGGGATGCCTGCATTCGGAAAATCTTTTTGTATTGACTGCATAGACATAATTTATTATTTCATTGCGGCAAAAAACAGTGTCTGGGATTTTTTTTTTTAGAAATTAGATGTTGTCTGTTTTTCCCCCAGATTCCATGTTTGGAATTTATTGGTATTCGTTTGCCAGGTCGACTATGGTCATTATTTGAATAAGAGTTCACCAAAAACATGCAAGTATTTTAAAAACAGCAGTAGAGGAAATCGGCATTTTCAAGAAAGAAGGCAAATTTGCCTTGCAATAATTTTGAATTAAATTTTCCTACCAAAAATACTTATAGAATTCGATAAATATACTACTAGCTGGCCCAGTCTACGTTGCCGGTCCGTAGTTTTAGTCTGTAATGCATAGTTTTAAAGCGTAATAATTCCCAGATCTGGCTCATATGTGTGACACAATTTTAATACCCTCAGCCATATGGTTACAGAGGTCAAAACGTGCCTAGTCGAAATAACGGTTTTAGACGCTAGGTATCTTTGGACCAAATCCGTTTCAGGACTTTTATAGTCGATCTAGCGATGCCCTTCCGTTTTTCTACCTGTCTGGCTGGCTGGTACGCACGATAACTCTCGAAGGGAGTATCCCATTTGATCCAAACTTGCTATATTGTGATATTATTTTCAAACTTAGATCGAGTTCGGGGATGGCCACTATCGGACCACTCCTTCTGGTACCTCCCACACAAAATGTCAAAAATTTCAAAGAAAATAATTTATTGCCCAGAACGACAAAGGATAATACAATTTTGTTCCAACTTTACGAATCCTAATAATTTTGTCAGGTGCGAAAATGAAAAATAGCGGTCCAGTCCATCGGGTACCTCCCCCACGAAATGGTCAATATTGGCACATTCTTTCGGAACCTACTCCATAAGGGTTTAAACATTTGAATAATCTAACAAAAGTCAAGATATTTTTAAATAATCGTACATTTGCTGAAGGTATACTTCTGTCGGCAGAACCGACGGAAACTTTTTAACTTGTTATTATAAATAATGACTCAACTAAATAGAAAAAATGTCAATACAGGTGTTTTAAAAAACCGGATCCTATTTTTTAAACATAGGCTTTAATTTGAGAGTCAAAAAAACTGTATGATATAGCAAATCTATTAAAAAGTTTATATCAACTTTTTATAATAGGCTCCGCTCAGTTGTTAGTTCGAAAAGTAAAGAAACCCGAAACCCGCGTCACAGTGGCCGAAAAATGGCTCGTGAGCTGAACATATCGCAATATTCCATTCGG